AAAAAACTATCATATCACTTTCAAAATCCCACGTCGCTTTGTTCTCACAAGCACATTCACAAGATTTTCAGAAAACTTGATCTCTGATTTTGAGGTCTATTTCACTGAGATTCAAACTCACCCAAGATTTTTTGTAAATATACCTTTAATTAAATTTTGATACATTTGCTACGTTTCTTTATTCTCAAATTATCACATTCACAAACTTGAGTGTCCCGCCTGCCCATCTGCTTAACAGGGTGAAGACAATAACCCATCAGCCTTTTACAAATGAGGGGTAAATATTACTAAATATTTAATGAAAAACTTTTGTAAAATTCATCTTCTTCTAAAGGTGAAAGTCAGCATTTCAATCACATATTGACTGTTTGGGTTGAAATCATTTGTGGTCCTGTACAGAAGTTGCTACAAAGCTACAAAAATATCCTTTTGTCCAACAAATTATTGCCACTAACTGTTTTATAACAATTTAACATATACTTCTGTGTGGTGATCCTTGAGACAAAATTGATAAAGACAACACATTTAATATAAAAATCTTACCTTCATTAACAGTCATAATGCCAGTTGTGTTTTTGAATTTCCGGATACCAAGAAACACAGCCAGAATGAGTAGAATGGCAACAACACTTACTACCACAGCCACAGTCACAATGCAGTGGTCAGAAATATTACCTAGAAATTAAAACCATTAAGAAGAAAATACTGAAATAATGTAAATATAGTTTACTGGGCTACAATGTTCAATTCAATAAAACTTTATTGATCACAAAGGTTGACCCCAAAGGAAATTGGGTTAAAGCTGCCGACCTTTTGCCAGCGCCATCTTACCCTTCCGACCAAACATACATTACACAGCATCACATGGGGAAGACAGGTCTGAGAGGTATAACAATGCAAAATGCACAACACGAGGAAAGACTAGGAGAAAAAAGAACCCCAGACTGCGCTCCAACAGGGAGATCAGTTTGAGAACAGAAAAAACACCTCAGCACATAGCACATCACATCTCACAACATAGAAGACATAAGCTTCGAAGGCGTTTGTATGGGGTGGGGGGGTGAGTGTAGGTATGTGTCAGTGTATATGCGTATGTGTGCGTGTGACTGTGTGTGTTCCGTGATCAGTCTGGGAGACTCTCTTAGGGTTAGAGAATAAGCGAGACTATACAAAAGACATGAGAAGCCAAGCAGAAAGATAGGGGAGAGGGAGAAGGAGAAAGTGCGACCGCCTCCATCAGGAGCCAAGAGTCTTCAAGTCATACGTACTTCCAATTTATGCTTCAGCATTTAAAATGCAAAACTGAATGATTTTTTAAAGAAAAATAAATCATTTAAAATTAGAAAAACTCCTATAAATACCTATACTAAATAAAATAATAAAGTAAATGGCTATTTAAGTATAACAGAATGTAATATTTTTTTTATATTACCTGTGCAGCTTATAAGGTGGATGATGGTTTGTTCTCTGCTTATATTGTTTTGGACGATACACATCAGCTTTCCCAGCAGTTGACCATGTAAACTGATGGTAACATTTGAAATGTTGTGGTTTTCTGCAATGCTGGGTTGGGTTTTTATCAACAAGTTATCATCCAAAAACAAGGTGAACTCTACTTCATCTCCTTCAGAGGAGCAGCTGACTGTCATCTGTTTTGGTGACAGACACATCTGAGATACAGCTGGCTCTGACACAGGAGCTGAAAGACAAATATAGTCAGCGGTGTAATTCGCAATATACAATTTACTGCCAGCGCTGCAAACTGTAATACCCATATACACCTAAATGAGTGAGAAAAAATAACCATCAATACTGCATGAAAGAATATATGTCAAGATCCATTATGAATATAATCCAGAAAGTTTGTTCATATAGGTCTCCACAAAATGTATTTAAAAAAAATGCAGATTTCAGATTTTGTAAAATCTTCAGACATTTTCCTCAAAAAAAAAAAGACAAAATAAATATAGTGTGTCTTTCAATTTTGAAGATATTTTCTTTCTTAACTTTTATTTCAATAAAGTACATTAAAGAATACTACCTGTACAGCTTGTAAGTTGGGTGATAGTTTGTTTTCTGCTGACATTATTTTGAGCAACACATGTCAGGTTTCCCATCAGCTGACCAGGTAAGTTGATGTTAACATTTGGAATGCTGTTTTTTTCTATACCATTGGCTGTAGGCTGTATCAACAACTTATCATCCAAAGACAAAATGAACTCTACTTCATCTCCTTCAGAGAAACAGCTGACTGTCATCTGTTTTGATGACAAACACATCTGCGTAACAGCTGGTTCTGACACAGGAGCTGAAAGACAAACATATGGACATAGTCACATATGGATGCAGTACAAATTGCAATATCAGATCCACTGCCAGGTTATCTCTTGCTATATAATCTTTATAAGTGTACACATGTGTTTGAAATGTGTGCACAAAAATCATCAATTTGACTCTCATATAATGTACAGCCACCAGCAATAATAATGATCAACATAATCTGTGAACTCTGTTTATATAGGTATCTGCAAAAATTGTCTAACAAACTGCAAGTTTTGAATTTTTGACACACACTGTTAACACCTTCATCCTTTTTCAAGATGAGGAAACTTCTTTTTCTTTTTTTTAATTTCTGGTTTTAGATCTGTAACACATTTTGTTTTTATGTTACTGCACATAAATTTGAAGAGAATATGTTTTTAGTCTTACCGAGTATATGTAGATGGATGTTAACTCTGTGCAATAACACACCTTCAGTAGAACTGTGTGTTTCCATGCTGTACTCTCCAGAGTCATTTTTTGTTGCTTTTTCGAGCTTCAATGTTCCATTTGTGGAGACTGTAGTAC